GATGAGGTGAGAGGAATGCAACCAAAAGCGTACCAGGACATGAATGTGTCTTGCTGAAGGAAAGATCTGGCTTTATCTCTCATTCTCCTAAACTTTAGGCTAGTTCAGCAGAAGGAAAAGTGATGGCTGGTCTTTTCTGCAGAAATAAAATTCTGCCACAGGCAGCAAAAGGTTCTATGTTCTTTTTACCAATAATGCCCATGGACCCAGGACCTATGTTAAGACTGTCACCTTTACATGTGTGTGTTTGTTTAGTAATCATGCATTTAACACCAAGTTGACCTGCAAGTATTAGCAGGGGGCAACACTTATCCATTCCCTGTTCAAAGCTCCCCCAGCCAGTGTCTTTAGTTCTCTGGCTGCTGTTAAAGGCATGAGAAAATAGCATGCCATGTTTTTCTCTGGTTCCCCTGCATCCCCAACGGGCTCCTGAGCTGTGGAATTCATGCAACTCACAGAGTCAAATGGGGAACCATGGAAAACCTTCCAAACAGCTCTGATCTGAGAGCTTCAGTGTGAACTGACAGTGTCACCCTGTCAGTGGTGCTGGAAGGATGACACCAGCGGTTTACCATAGGTAAGGAGGATGCTGGCCTTTTCGCAAAAGCCCATTGGGTAACAGCTGCTTTGGCATCCTGTAAATGACGTGTGCAAGTCTTGCATACAGAAGAGTGTGAATTCCTTTACAGCCTGAAATCATAGCTGTTTCTGGGACACATGCCAGTCACTTACTAGAACATCATCATAACGAGGTTATATGAGGGTCAGCAAAACCTCATTTTCACCTAGCAGAGAACAAAGCCTAGTTTGCACAGAGCAACGGCCCAGAATATGGGTTGAGTATGGGTTCTTGGTGAGACATGGATGGTCATTATGTGTGAACCCTGCATTGTGGTTTAACTTTGAGTTGTTAACAACACACAATCTAGACAGAGAGCCCATGGCTGATTGTTGACTTGTGACTCTGCATTGCTTGTGGTTAACCCCTAGTTAAACCATGGTTCAGGCTTAGCACAGAGCAACCCAAAATTCAATGACAACTATGCTCCACAGATACTCTGGTGGTCATTCCATATATGTAAGAATTGTATAAAGCAGAGGGTAGGAAACGGCAGTCCTAGGGTCAGACATGTCCCTCAGTCTAATTTCTTGCAGCCCTTAACCTAATTTCAAAAGAATTGTGCATGTGATCAGACCAGGCTTCTTACAAAACTGACCTATTCCTTCTCTGGAAGCCCACAGTTTGTGAGGAAAAAATAGAGAGAAAAGTCAACAGGGGAAAGACAACAAAAAGGGTTGATCCACCGACTTTTGGCTCTGATCATACCACCACTTCTTCATTGCCTGGTGGCTGACAGAATACCCATAGGAGAAAACTTGTCAGAACAAAAGCCTTCCTATCCCTGTTGTAAACCTTGTACATACCATAATGCTTAAATTAGTAGCCACTGGGCACCTGGAATATGTGAATGGGAAAAATGTCACTCAATCTTCATGACATCAGGATCTGGACTCCTCTAGGGCTTTACCTGATGGCCAGAACCAGAAGCCCAACTAAGTTTTCACAGGGTCAGTCCCACATCCTGCTGGAGCTCTCAGCTTCCTGATGGGCTGGGAATTTTGGAGAACAAGTCATATAAAAGCAAGCTCTTCCCTCCAGAACTTGTCTCAGCAACACTGGCTCTCCTGCTTGCTGCAATGCCTGCCTCTTGTCATGCTATTTCAGCAATACAGGCCCTAAGTCCAGCACCCTGTCCATGCGGTGGCAAACCAGCTGCCCACAGGATCCCCCAAGCAGGATGGATACAAGACCTCCTCCTGCCCAAGCTCCTTAGCAGGTGGTGTATGCAGACATGTTGCCTCTGACAAAAGGAGGTAGCTCATAGCCAGCAAGGCTAGTGGCCACTGATAGCCCCCTCCCTCATGATTCTGTCCTATCCCTTTTTAAAGCCATCCAGATTGGCAGCCACCAGCACTTCCTGTGGCAGCAAATTCCATAGTTCAACTATAATCTGTGAAGAAGTACTTCCTATTATCTGTCCTAAACTTCCTACCAGTCAATTTCATAGGATGATCCTGGGTTCAAATGTTACGAGAGAGGGAGAAGAATGTCTCTCTCCCTACTTTCTCCACAGCATGCATTATTTTGGACATGTCTCCCCTTGCTGACTGTTTTTCTAACCTGAAAAGTCTCAGTTGTTGTAGCTGTTCCTCACAGGAGAGCTGCTCCAGCCGCCTGATCATTTTCATTGCCCTTCTCTGTCCTTTTTCTGATTCAGTAATGTCCGTTTTCTGATAAGGGGACCAGAGCACAATATTCCAAGTGTGGTCGCACCAGAGATTTGTATAAGGGATTTTGGCAGCTCTGTTTTCTATTATGTTCCTAATTATGCCTAGCATGGAGTTTGCCTTCTTTACTGCACACTGGGCCAATATTGTCCTTGAATTGTCCTCTACCCACTCAAGGAGCCTTACAGCTAATAGGTGGGATAAAAATCAAATACATACATACATACATAACTGTCCTGCGATCCCTTTCATGGTTCATCACTACTAGTTCTGATCCCATCAACATATACTTGTAGTCGGGACATTTTGCCGCAACATGCATTACTCTAAACTTGCCTATGTTGAATTGCATTTGTCATTTTATTGGCTGTTCTCCCAGCTTTAAAACATCCCTTTGGAGTTGCTCACAATCCCTTTTGGCTTTAAGCACCCTAAAAAGTTTGGTGCCATCAGCAAATTTTACCACTTCATTACTTACTCCTAATTCCAGACAATTTATGAATAGATAGAAAAGCACTGGTCCTAATACAGAACCCTGTGAGACTCTGCTGGTTATATTTCTCCATTGGGAGAAGTTGCTATTTATTCCCACCCTCTGTCATTGGCTCTCTAACCAGTTAGTGCTCCATAATTGGACCCCTTCCCCTTTTATTCCATGACTGCTTAGTTTGCTCAGCAGCATTTGGTGAGAGGTTTGCCATTGCTTACTTAGAAGTCCAAATAAACAATGTCTACTGGATCACCCCATCCATGTGCTTATTGACACTCTCAAAGAACTCCAAAGGTTAGTGAGACAAGACTTCCCCTTGAGAAAGCCATGCTGATTTTTTTTTCAGCAGGACTTATCCCTGTATGTGCTTACTGAGTCTATCTTTAATAATGCTTTCAAGCAGTTTATCCAAAACAGATGTTAACTTACTGAGTTGGGATTTCCTGGATTTATTTCCTGGATTCTTTCTGGATCCTTAATTTTAGGGACGTGTTAAATATGATGGTAAGAAGGGCAGCGATTTCATGCTTGAGTTCTTTGAGAACTCTATGATGGATTCCATCTGGACTGGGTGACTTGCTGACTTTCAGTTTGTCAGTAAGGCTGAGAATTTCTCCTGGTTTGCTGTAGTACCTGCTCCTTACTATGTCTCCTGCCTCACTGTTTTGCCTCAGCAATGTGGCTCTTCCTGTTTGCTGTAATGCCTGCATCTCGCATGAGCTGCATCATGCCTTGCCTTGCTGTCTCATCTCAGTAACATGGGTCTTCCACACCTGTGTGTTGGCTGCCCCTTGCTACGTTTGGTTCCTGCGGTATCCTGCTTGCCATGCAGCCTCCACAATGCAGGTTTGCCTGATAGCTGCGGTTCAGCTCCTTCATCTTGCCTGACCCTCACTGTGTATCCTGCCTTGCTCAGGATCCTGCCACAGGACACCTGCACCACGTTCTCAACCTTTGGCTTGTTCCTGACCGTGTCCTGGTCTTGCCCTGATCATGTTCTTCTGGTTCCTGACCTCAGCCTCTACCTTGACTACGACTTGGACTTGCCATTCAACCTTGCCTTTTGGACTTTGGACTCTGACGTGCCTCAAGTTTTGTTGCCCTGCTCTCAGTGTTCATGTCTTGTCTCCTGCCACCCATGTCCTGGTCCTGGACTCTGACACACGATCACATGATTTGGGTTTCTTGATTTCCTTTGTGTGTTGTTTTTGTTTTGTTGATCAGTTAGTGTCATTAATCTCAAAAGTCTGGCTAAAACTGCCCCCTGAAGTGGCTTTGGAAACTGAACTCATGATGCACGAACAGGAGAGTAAAGGACCAAGTCGTGGCCCAGACCTAGAAAGATTCAGTAACAATTCAGCAATTCTGGTAGTCATTCCACACAAGCCGGTTCAGTAGGAATCCTATAAATCCTTGAGGAAGCTTCCCTTCAGTTTGAATGTCAAGATATGTGGAAGATACTTGCCTTCGCTGTGCCCACATGCACTTCTCCGGCTCCCCACTGCACCTTTTATTAAGGCACTTGGCCTTTTATTCTTCAGTTCGCCTTTCTCTGAAATGGGGGTTCTGTGACTGATTGTGCTGACCACAGCAGCCGTGTGTGAATGGACCTCTCATGGTCCTCTCAGGTGTCCAGGTCACTTCTTCCATTTGATGCTTAATACTGAAATCTGTAAGGAGACCAAGTGGGGAGAGCTACGTGGTACCTGCTTATTGTAGTGTTCGAAGTCCTTAGTCTGGAAATCAGGAGTGGCCTTGGCATTAGGCAGAGAAAGGCAGCTCCCCCAGGAAGCAGATGCCAAGTATGAAAGCAATGCCTCTTGACACGGAGTTTATGCAGTTCCTCTCTCTCAGTTTTGTTCCTCTCTCCCTGTGAGCGCACAGGCTTCCACCCCACTCCACCTTCCCTGGAAATGATGCTGATTCAGTAAAGCCAACAGGTTCCCTCTCATCCTGAAGGCATCCCTTATCTACAGAAAGATTGGAGAAGGCAATGCTCTCCACTGCTAAGAAGCTGAAGGCCAGGCGGCCTCAGCATGCCTTCAAGAACCTGTTCTGGCTTTTAGGCACTGGGAAAGGTCACTAAACTAGCTTTTCAATCTTAATATCCTCCTCAGCACTGCTGACTTACTGCAACTCAGCCCTGTAGATTACCAGGAGAACATGATCTTCTTTTTGCACATCCCTGTTCTCCACATAAAGAAAACATGAGAGACAGGCAGCAGATAATACAGAAGACTTTATTCAGGAAACCTCAGCTATAAGAACCATCTCATTTAGTACTTGTAAAAGGATATATCTCTATGGAACATCTGGCAGGCCTTCTGCTTTGCCACCACTTCCCCGAGTATGGAGAGAATCCCTATGGAATAGATGGGTACTTGTTCCCTGCGATGTCTGGCATCCAAGGCTGTGCAGCCTGTAGAGACCCCAGTGGGTCCCTGCCTGACCAGTGGCTGTCTGCAAACCGCTGTTCTGACAGAACTTGCCTTCACAGCTCCGAATTCTGAGCATCAGATCCAGTAAGATGAGAAATCCCCAATGGTGGAAACAGTTCCTTGTACTACATATCTCTTTCCAGAGTTGCATGCATCAACTTACAGCAAAGACCTGTCTTCATCAGGATATACAAACATTCAGTTTAAAATATACAAAGTTGGATGGATCTAAAACAAAAAAAGAATGAAGAATACAGAAGGAATTATTTTTACATTTGTTAACTCTCAGGATATTGCATGTTTTAGTTCAGCTCACATGAAAATGACAACAATTGCTACCCAAACATCTATTACGAGATTCTACTTTGGACAGAATGGATGCAGAAAGACTGGCAAGCTTTTGGATATCATTGAGACTATATTTTTATCCATGTGGCCTTTTTGAGAAAGAGGAGGAAATTGAATATCAGAACTCATTAGTATGGTCAAATCACAGCTGAAATTGGCAGAAAACTTTTGAAGCATCACAGCGTTATCAACATAGCATGAAGCTTGAAGTCTACTGAGACCTTCAATGTAACAATAGCTGAACCATTCTGTTACGAATTCTGTCTTCTCTCCTTTCAACATGGCAATTAAAGGGTCGTTGAGTTGTTGCCAGAAGTAGATGAGAAGGAAGATCCCTTTCTGTATTGATTCAGGGTTTCCTTGCTGATGAGGCCTCGGGCGACCAAGATCTTCAGGAAGTTGTTTCGGAACTTCTGCCCTATGAAGGCATATATGAAGGGGTTGATGCAGCTGTGAGTGAAGCTCAGAATCTCTGTACCTAAAAAGGCTCTATCAAGAACAGAACGGCGCTCACAACTGTCTGCAATAACACCAGTCCTCAACAAGGTATCAACAAGCAGGGAGACATTGTAGGGCAGCCAACACACCAGGAAGAACAGCACCACAGCCAGGATGATCTTCATGGCCTTCTTCTTTGGGCTATTCTTGGTCTGGAAAAGCTGGTGCACTGTCATCCCATAGCAAAAGAGCATGATGATCAATGGGATGATGAAGCCAAACGTCTGTGGCAGGATTCTCAGCACCACCCTCCACTCAGATGTTTTGCTTCCCTGAATGTTCTCATAACAAACTATTTGAGGGGGATCTGAGTACTGAAAAGCCTCACGGGAGGAGATGATGGGGAGGGAGAGGAGCAAGGAGAACAGCCAGATGCCAACACAAACAAACTTGACCCAGTGCCTCTTCTCAGTGGCTGCTCGAGTAGCATAAACTATGGCCAGGAAGCGATCAATGCTGATAGCGGCCAACAGGAGGATGCCACTATAGAAGTTGACCTGCAGTAGGGTGGAGACAATTTTGCACATGGCAGTGCCAAAGATCCACTCATGAGCTCGATAAACGGCCCATATGGGCAAGCTGAGGGCAAAGAGAATATCAGCGATGGCTAGGTTCAGGAGATAGATATCAGTAACAGACCGGTTTCCCCTGTTATAAGTGACCACCAGCACCACCAGTGAGTTGCCCAACAGGCTCAGAAGGCACACCAGGCAATAGATGGATGCCAGTGCATATTTGAATCCAGTGGTCACCACTTCAGACTTGCAGGGTGCTGCTCCAGAACTGATAGATCCATCTATGCTGGGAGGATCAACAGTGGAAAAATAACTGTAGTTTTCTAGGAGGTCATCAACATTCCCATCAAATGTGAATACTTCTCCCATGCTGGAGGCAGTGCTCTGGACCTATGCAGAATATAAAGCCAAAAGAAATACAGTAATAATTTGATTAAAAGGAAGGCAATACATACAATCACAAATGGATTGAATTTATTTTTCAGTGCATTAAGGAAGAGCATTCTTCTGACTTCTTGCCACTAATGAACATGATTAGGAGGCACTGGAGATGCTGCTATTGGGATCATTAGCAGACAATGGCTCAGTTCACACAACATATTGCACTGTGCTTAAAATTCCTCTGTGCCAGACAGACAATCAGGCGCAAGGGGTGGTGTGTCTCCTCCTTCCTCCTCCTAATCCTCCTGCAGTGGACCAGGAGAAGCAAGATGTTCCCTATTATTCCTAGTATTGTAATTGCATTTATGTCCTGCCATATTTCCATTTCTCTTTGGTCCTTCTCAAAAGTTAAATCACCTAGGCAGGATGCACTTCTACAGGTATCCTGGTGGATCCCGGTTATGCATCTGCAGGCTTTTCTATCTAAGGCTGTCTGGTGTTGTCACAGCTTTAAGATGTGAGCTCCACACAAGGAGCTTTTCCTTGTCTGCTTTTCAACAGCAGAACCTCTAGGTGACCTTATGCTACTCCAGAGTAGGTCAAACACATGCTAAGAAACAATGCCATTTCCCCTATTCTGAAGAACAACTACAGGGAATGCCCTGTAAACAATGAAGCGAAATGGGACAATCACTTCCTTGCCTCAACAGCTTGTAAACAACCATGAGCGTAAATAAATGCCTCATATGGAAGAATGCTAAGTGTGCAGTGTGGCTCCTCTACATCCTTGTGCATCAACCTGCCCCCATCGTGGTGCTTGGGAACAAAATGGCTGCCCCAGCTGGCTGCTTTGCTAGTGTCTTCCTTTCTGTGTCTAAATGGAGAAGGGAGCCACAAATTTCCCTAGGTGCATTTTTATTCAGAAGTCCATCTCATCAAATTTAGACAGATAAATTGGAAATAGGCTCAAGCCAACAATCTTTTTCCATGAGTGTTTAGCTAGAAAAGATATTTCTTTTACAAGGAAATGATGCTTACTCCCAAATAATAGTTTTCAGCAACATATGCAAGCCCTCTTTTAATTTTCTAAATTAAAATTGAGAAAATTTGAAATATCACAATCATAATATTTATTTATTTATTTATTTATTTATTTATTAAACTTATATATCACTAAATTGACCTAAAGACACTCGAAGCAGATTACAATAAGGAAAAAAAATGACTGTAAAAACAATCAATTAAAACACACAAACATAATACAAGAAAAACAATAGCACATAACAGTACACAGCCGAGGGATAACAATTAAGACAGTATAAACTAAACCAGCAATATAACTAAAATTATCAGATCAAATTAGTTATTAAAATATCTAGAAAATACAGTTGTTTTCACCTGGTGCCAAAGGATTGTAAGGAGGGCACCAGGCGAACTGCTTTCGGGAGGCTGTTCCACAGGTGGGGCGCAACTACTGAGAAGTCCCCTCTTCTATTTGCCATCCTCCTTACCTCCTCAGAGGATGGCTCTTTCAGAAGGGCCTCCAAAACGGATCTGAAAGGCTGGGTAGGTGCATTTGGGACCAGGCTGTCCTTCAGGTATTATTTATTTAGAGTTTTTATATGCTGTCCCCTTGCTATATAGCCTCGGGACGGCTCACACAAATAAATAAATATCATACAATTACAGTTAAAACCCGGAAACACCCTTGCTGCACAATTAAAACCTATAAATATTAAATGTAGTTAAAATATTGTTTGAATAAAAAGGTCTTAGCCTGGCGCCGAAAAACAAATAACGACGGCATCAGGCAGACCTCTCTGGGGAGCGCATTCCACAGATGGGGTGCCACCGCAGAGGTATGGTTGTCCCAAGCCATTTAGGGCTTTATATGCTAAAACAAGCACCTGAGCTTGGGCACAGAACTCAACTGGTAACCACTGAAGATGACTTAATATCCGGATCACAGGGGTGTGCAGTCCTGTTCCCACCAGGAGTCATGCCGCCCTGTTTTGTGCCAGCTGAAGTTTCTGGACTGTCTTCAAGGGCAGCTCCATGCAGAGTGAGTTATAATTAGAGAAAACAGCAGAGTAGCATAACTTCTTTTCTGTACATCAATCTCATACATAAACCATTCAAGTTCCATCTGACCAAAAGTTTTAAATATCAGACCTTGCCAATAACTTACCATTACTAAATAAGTTAGAAACAGATGATCAATCCCTATAAACATGAAGACATTGCTACTCTTGAGCATTTCAAGCTCGTATGCCTATTACAAGCTCTATGGTATTGAAACCCATGGAACAATCCTTCTCTCACAGGGCAATCCTACTCTCCCTAAATAGCATCTGGCATGCTGTAGGATGCTGAAGAGCCCCCTCTACAGCCTCTCCTAACCTCTCCCAGCCACCACAGAAAGGTCCATGGTAGCTCTTCACCTGAGGAGACAGAATGCAGAGGGGGAACATGTTGGTACATGGAACAGGGGAAAAGACGCCAAGGATCCCCCAGATCAGGACTGGACTGGACCAGAGGCCTGCCTAGGAGAAAACCCTGGAAGTGGGGATAGAGGCGAAGAGGCACTCCTGTCCCAGGGTCCTTGAGAGCCTCAGAGATTTGAACTGTTCACCTACCAGGCAGCAGTACAGTAGAACCCTAAGACAATAAGAAGTCTAAAAGTGAAAACCCAAACAGTTCCTATATAGGTCTACTCAGAAGTGAGCCCCACTGAGTTCAGTGGAACTTTCTTTTAGGAAACTGGGTGGTATAAGACAATGAGAAGCTGCAGTAATTCAGGAAAAGGAGAGGATAGTGCCTCTTATACCTACTTATTCCAAAAAGTCCTAAAGTGTTCCATTCCTCTTCAAAAGGATATATATTGTATCTTCCCTGTTTTACCCAAAGAACCAACTTAATTTTGCTTATGTTTGCTAAAGCTCACAATTTAATATTTCCCGTAAAAATATTCCCTTTCTTGCTGCCATGACATAAAAGAGTAATTTTTGGTTGTTCTTTGAGCTGGCACCTTTCTAATAAATTCATAAGCAAATTCTGGAACCTCAACAGAGAGTTTATTGTAAAGCAGGGGTCCTCCAGCTTTTCCACCAGGGGGCCAGTTGCAAGCTGCTAGTGCTGGGCCTGGTGTGCGTGGCCAGAGCGGGTCGGGGCAGCGCGTGCAGGCACATGACCTGGAGCGGGGCGGGGGGGGCAGGCGCGCGGCAAGGGGAGGCGAGGCAGGGCGGGCATGCGCTGCAAGGCAGCGGCTTGCTCGCTTGGTGATCGTTTTCTCCGAGCGAGCTGCTGCCTCCCTGCGCCTGGGGCGAGGTGCGTGGCGGTGGGTGTGCATGTGACAGGTCAAAATAGGCATGGTGGGCCGGATAAATGGGAATGGCGGGCTGGATCTGGCCCCCAGGCTGTAGTTTTAGGCAGGGCTTTTTTGTCACAGAACGCACCGGAACAGCGTTCCGGCACCTTTTTTTGACGGTTATTTCCAAGTGATTGTGAATCGCCCTGTTGGGCGTAGCAGGTCGGAGGCAAAAATCATTAACATAGTGCCTGCGGGCTGCTTGATTGTGAGGCCGCTGCTCGGCTTGGGGCGCAGCTCGGCTTGGGATCGGTCATGTGGTCTCGTGTGCTGAGTGCTTACTGCCGGCAGCGACCATTATGTTTATGTGTGTGTAGAGTGACTGGCTACGTGCAAAAGGTAAATAAGTTCTTTACTTCAAAACAAGTTGGTGAATTGAAAATCTTTTTAGTGTAAAAGTGTGACCCCAAGACTTGAGTTCTGGCACTTTTTTTTTTTTTTTTTACAAAAAAAGCACTGGTTTTAGGACCCATGTTGTAAAGGGTGACTAATATTCCACACACAGTCTTGGAGCCTCAACAAGTAGGACCCTATACAGGGAAGGTGAGCTGGTTCCTTTCCAACTACCAGCCCTGGCTCTGTTTGTTGCTTGCTGCGCACTGGACTCTTGTTCCTGCTTGTGGAATAGCCAGCAAGTGCCTGCAAGCCCCCCTGGGTTGATTGTGAATGCAAGCCAACTACAGTGGACCCTGGAGAAGGACTGTACCTGCTAGGCCAGACATGAAGTGGCAATACGCCTGATGGGGGAGATGCCAAAGGTATCCAGAGCCCGGCTTTGTGCACTGGCTTTTAATGAGTTTCAACTGGTACAACCCAAGGACATTGATACAGTTCTTGGCCACCTTTATGAGCCAAGGTGGGGGGGATCCTTGACTGATTGACGATAAAATCCAGCAGGGGCATGGTTAATGCCTCCTTGTTTAGAGGCAGCGATACCAAGCCAACTGAAAGGGGTGGTGGTCAGACCACTCCTAAAGAAAGGGTCTGAAGATCTTGAGTGGGTGGTGACCAACCAGATCCAACTGCCCTTGGATGAGACCAATTATTTGGATCCATTTCAATCAGGGTTTCTGTCAGGGTATGACCAGATTTCAGCATGAAGGTAACATTGGTTGCCCACTATGATGACCAATGTTGTGAAAGAGATGGGGGAGTGTGCCCTCTTTATTACTCCTGGGTCTATCAGCTGTGACATTCAACTGGGGAGACAGGCTGAGGTGGGAGTGGGCAGACTATATTGCTGAGGTCCCCCTCCTTACTGAGATGGATAGCTCAAGAAGGTTTTGCTTAGGGAATATTGCTCAGCTTCATGGTTCCTCAGAAGTCAGTTTTAGCATCTGCATGAAACCACTGCATGGGACCATCTGGAGTTTTAAAGTGTACTAATATCAGTACTGCAGGTGGCACAGTGGTTTAAACAGCTGTGCTGCTGGGCTGGTTGATCAAAAGGTCGCCGGTTCGAATCTGCACAATGGGGTGAGTTCCTGTTGCTCCGTCCCAGCTCCTGCCGACCTTGCAGTTCAAAAGCATGCAAATGCAAGTAGATGAAAAGGTACCACTTCGGTGGGCAGGTAACAGCGTTCTGTGCACTTCGGTGTTCAGTCATGCCGGCCACATGACC